CAAGGGAGCCTTCTGGGGTGACAGAAAAGTCCTAAAACTGAATTGTGGTCACAGTTCCCTAGCTCTGTTAGTTTCCTAAAAATCAGCAAATTGTTCAGTTGAAATTGGAGACTTTCATGGCATGTAAAAGCCAGTGAAGATGGTAAAAAACTAATTCCCTAAATTCTAAAAGTAACACTTTTTATGTTAATACCTTCCTTTCTTTCCTGACACTGCAAATTAATACTAGTTGAAATTTTAAAAGACAATAAAACTTATCCCTCATTACCAAGGAAAAATAAAAAGTTCTGTACCCACAAATGACTGATTCTACATTTAGTCAGAGAAAAATCCCTTTCAGAAATTCTCTTATATTTGCCTAGTGAAATCTAAATTATTTTTATTTTAACATGCCATGCATACCTCTAATCACAGCATGCATTACGTCGAACAGTTTGATTTTATTTACTAATCATTTTGGCAAAGAGAGAGTATACTCCTGAAGCAAGAACCATGTCACAGTCTTCATTGTATTCTCAGAGCCTAGTAGGTATTGAATAAATGATTATATTAAATGCAATGATTTCTTCACCAGAACCATCTATCACTTTTCAATTGCATCGAAAATACAATACAAATTAAACAGACATTCCCTACTTTCTAAATCAGGGTTTCTCAAGCTTAGCACTATAGACATCTTGGGGTGGAAAACTATTCCATAGAGAGGGCTGTTTTGTGCATCGTGGAATGTATAGCAGCATCCTTGGCCTCTACCCACCACATGCCAGTAGCATCCCCCTCCCCAGCTGTGCCAACCAAAAATGTCTTCAGACATTGCCAAATGTCCTCTGAGGGGTTAAGAACCACAGCTCTAGACAGAAAAAGTTTAAGATGGATCAAACCAAACTGACGTGAATGCATTTCAACAATGCCTTTCATGCTATGGCTTCTGAAGCTAATGAGAACATCAAGAAAGAAAAAGCATATGACTAGCAAATTATGATTCTCTAACCATGGGCCTTGGTGTATTACAGGGAGAGAAAAGGAGAGAAATTCTTTTCATTCTCCATGCAACTGTGGAGATTCAAAAGGCTAATTCTAATATAAGGCTGACAGTTTTCAGGAAATGTGGAGCTGTAGAAATACATAAGTGTCCAAATGCCAAATAGCCTGTGGCTATAAAACAGTCTGAAAGAAGCATGCTTGTTGCCAGCACTGTGCTGTTTATTATGAATTGTATCTAGGAGAACAATTTTGAAAATGCTATTGAATATGTATTAAAAGGAAAGATCTATAATTCAGGTCATGACATGCCACTATTAGCAAATAACTCAGCCAGTTGGAAAGGTTAAGGACGGTGGGAGAAGAAACCATTAAATTAAGTGTAAGTTTAGTACATCAATGCTTTATTTTATTTTTCTCAGTGACCACAGTATTTGGCAATCCTCTTCCAAATATCTCAGCCCAAAAACTAAAAAGCTGTTATCCATATTGTATTTTTTTTTTTTTGAGACGGAGTTTCGCTCTCTTGTTACCCAGGCTGGAATGCAATGGTGTAATCTCTGCTCACGGCAACCTCCGCTTCCTGGATTCAGGCAATTCTCCTGCCTCAACCTCCCGAGTAGCTGGGATTACAGGCACGCGCCACCATGACCAGCTAATTTTTTTTTGTATTTTTAGTAGAGACGGGGTTTCACCTTGTTGACCAGGATGGTCTCGATCTCTTGACCTCATGATCCACCCGCCTCGGCCTCCCAAAGTGCTGGGATTACAGGCGTGAGCCACCTCACCCGGCCCATATTGTATTTTTTAATAGGACTCCAAATGTTTTGGTTTCAATTCTACCTTGGACATAATGAGCATTTCATACTAAAGTTCAAGATGTACATTTTGAGCAAAGTAACCATTATATAATAAAGCAAAAGACATTTTTTAACACTATCTAAGTATGTACACATATCTATAGGATTTATGAGAAATATTTTAAAGCATCTTTATTTCTTATTTAGCAAAACAGAGGAGTGCACTTCTAACCTCAACACCAATAATTTAAGCAATACGAATGAAACCCTTCTAGTTTTCAGCCACTTCTATATTTCTTAGCAATCTGTTCATGAGAAAGAAAATACCATAGGCAGTCACATGTTAATTCCTAACACTTGAAAAGGAAGCATATCGTTCCAATTCTGTCGGTAAAAATATTTACATTTTGCCCTGTGTGCCGACTGGTAAACATAAACAGGTTTAGGACTCTTTAATATTAAGCACGTAATTCCCAAATCCACTAAGAGAAAGAACATACACGATGTGCAAAAGCACTCCATTCAATCAAGCTCTAACTGTACACATAATTATGGTATTCAAATTAGATGACTAATTTAGACATGTTCTATCATGTCAACTATATACTAACATAAAAATGTCTGAATAAAATTCAGTTAGAATAAGAAAAATGAGGTGAAGAAAATGTAATTACTCTTTTTAGAAAATGAAAACTCCTAGTACCTAATATTAAAATATATACTCATAGAAAGATGAGTAGGGAATGCAGTTTAATTGTTCATCTTGGTAGTGAGTGATAAATTCAGTAGTGTCAAAACACCTGAACAGAATACTAACTCTATGCCCTGGATTAGCATATTTGCATTTGGATGAAATTGGGACACATGAGGCATGAAATGACCAAATTAATCTTCATTTTACCTCATTTGAGTTTCCTCACATATTATTACAAAGCGCAATAAAAATCAAATATAAAATACTATATTACTTTACATTGTTATTTAAATTTTCACACGGCTATATTGTAATTTTTCAACTACATTGGACTAAGGCTACTATAAAACACCATGTGTAGTCATTACTCAGAACTAAGATAGCGGCCTAACGTTTTTTAAAACTTTTTAAAATTTACAAATGTATTGTTATTTTAAAAAGTCAGCACCAATAACAAAAGAGCAATCCACCAAATGTCACAAAGGCATAAGCCCCTTTGGATTCAACTTTTCCTACCGAAGCTAAAATGTAAAATGGGCACCATGAAGCTTGAAATTGAGATTTAGGGATAAGCATTAGCACCAGCATTTTGCTACTTGCTAGAAATTGCTTTCATCTGGAAGCTGCAATTTAGTATGCCTCCTGGATATTTTTTGTGAAAGAAAAAAATGCAGCATCATAAACTTTTTCCAACAGCCATAACATTCTATGTACTTTTCATGATTCTAATATTACTGTGTATTAATAGCTAATATCTGCTTTAATAGTAGCAAAATTAGGTAAATCAAAATTTTAGACTATCAGGAGCCAAAGTACAAGTTGTAACATTAAAATATATCCCTTAGATTTATCCTGCATCATTTTACACTGCTTACAGAAGACAAATGCTTTAATACTTTGGCATTAAATAAGTAACATAATAGCTGCTTTGGCAAGACAAAGCAAGCAAGATATCATTTAACGTATCTGGAGAATTCAAAAATATTACAAAAGGAAAACCAATAGTTTAAAATTAATTAGGCTGAATTTTATTTTCCATACATGCACACACAGATATGTGTACACACAGAATGCCTCTTACGGGCAACAGTCATTGCAACTGCTGAAAAACAAATTCCCACTGTATCACAAACAGGTTTAACAACAATAATTTTATAAGTTAAAATACTGATTCCTTGCATTTATACTCAGATTCTTTTTTAGCACTCCTGAGATAATGAAAGCAAAAGATGTTCATTTTGTGCAAAAAAACCCCCAAAAAACAGATTTTTCCCCAGTCTAACTTAATCACATATTTGCATAAATAACCTGTGGCCCATCAAATATAGAAATTGAGGCTGATACAGTTTCTACTGTTGGTGCTTTGAGCAGACTAATAAAGAAAATCTCTTAAACATACTACTGTCTAATTCTTCTTTAGCAGTTATTCACAAAAATACAAGCAACATGATGAAGTATTGTGAACCCAGGACACCTCATTTTGGATCTGAGAAACTCTACGACTTACTAGCTGTGTTACCTCCACCCAGCCATCTGAACCCTGTATCTCAGTTTCCTCATCTGTATAACTTGAGTGATTCTGCCTTCCGGTCAAAATTAAAGGACAAACATTTGGGGACTGAAAGGCATGATATTTAGCTAAAACATTCGGTAATGATTTCCATCATCTTCAAATATTCCAGTTAATCTTTCATATAATGTGTCCTATTTTTATAAGACAAGTGAAAATTACAGGACATTGTACTCAGCATATCTCAAATAATCCAGTGAGCTGAAAGTCTCATTAATAATTATATAAGCATTGGTTCAAAGGTTCAAACCCTCTAATAACATTATAACCATGATAAAAGCTTAGTTTTTATAATCTGTCAAATAATGAGTCTTTTATCACTTTCTCTTTCAGTGCGTTATTTTGTGGATACAATGAGATATGCCTGCTATGGGGAACTGAGGCACTTCAATCACCAGGAAAGTGATTCTTTCACTCTTCCCATTCTCCCAAGAAGCCTGTGTCCTGCTGTCACTGAAGGAAAAAAACAAATGGAAAAGAAAAATAAGAAATGACAATTCTATAAGCTTCTTGAGATCCAGAATCATGCTTTGTTATTTTATTCCTTTCCCCCTCCCCTTCCCCACCCACCTTCCACATAGTAGGTCTTAATATTTACTGACCAGGACTGAAAACTCTAGGAGAAAAAGCCACCATTACCTGTGTAGATAGAAGCAAGTCAACAATCAGACCTGTCCCTTTGCTCTCTTTCTATTTCAATTTCATGTCTTTTGTCACTTAGTTCCCATTCAGTCAAGCACCTCATTCTGCTTTGCCTCTGGCTTCTGCCACTTTGTGTCCAAGCACTTGTCAAAAACTTCTCTCGCTTAATCTGACTATGCCATCTCTTTTTCTTCTGACAGCCACCCTGGCCTTCCTCCTTGTTGTTTTTTTTTTTTTCCTAGTCCACACATTCTCACAAGCAGATCACAATCTCAACAACAACTTCAAATACACGGAGGACTTGCAAACCTACATTTCCAGTTCAGCCTCCATCTTCAATTCCGGAACTGCAGGCTCAACAACTGTCAATTGCACCTCAGGTCCTGGATGTCCCTCTGATGTCTCACAGTGCATAAATCCACAGCTTGTCATCTTCTCCTGCAAACTGCTCCATCCTCTGTATTCACCATCATCTCCAATGGCACCCCTGTTGATTCAGTTATCCAAGCCAGACACCTGGGAGTCGTCCTTAAAGTCATCATCCCCTCCTTGCTTCTCCCATTAATGTCCGCATGCTTATCAGTGGGAGTTCACACCTTAAATCCACACCAAGATTCAAGAGCCTTTTTTTGCACTGCATATCTTTTCTGTCCCCTACCCCATCCATTTTGTGTAATACACCCAGGATCATTCTAAAAAAGTCCTCAAATTCATCTACAAGACGAAATATGGCCCACAAGACCCTTCCAAAAGTGGCTCCAGCCTCTGCTTTACATCTCCTGCCTCATCTCCCACCCTCACTGTGCGCAAGTGAGGAGCCACATGGAATGACCAGCTGTTCCACAACCCACCTCTCCGGTACCTTTGTTGCACCACATTCCCTGTTCCCTCTCTCAGAATAATTTATCCCTGCCCACACCCACCCTCAGCCTCCTGGTACCCTCCTACTGACTCCTCCAGACTCCATCAAGCCCTGTTGCCTTAGGGAAAGTCAAACCCTTGGAGTCAGACACCCTTGACAGAGCTCAGCATCCTTTAAGCACCAGTTCCAACTGCTGCCTAGTGTCTCCTTCCCTCATGAATCTGAGATTCCTGAGGGCAGAGAGAGGGATTTTCTTATATATGAGGACTTATCATCTAACAGTGTGCCTGTTATTATATATTAATTAATATATATCTGGTGTATAAATGAATATCACCCCAACTAAATTTCACTCAAAACACAGCAAAGCTGCTAGTGATTGATTATGTGTGAATTAGAGGCTCACAGCCCTCCTTAGAAAATGTCAGGGAAAAATTAAGAAGGCTACTCTGGTTGCGATTCTCAAATGCTCAGTGCAGAAGGTGAGGTGTCCTTGTGTATAGCTATGTTAGGGATTGGCTTTTTTTTTTAAAGAAAAAATTATTGTGTTACGTGTTTTTTCCTCTGACTTCGAACATGAGCTTCCTCAACACTTGAGTTTCCCAGCAGTTTCACCATGTTCCACCACAATGGGTGTGATGAAAGAACGGGTGTGGTTTGGGGGTGAAAGGATGGAGGGGGCGGAAGTAACTAATAGTAATGATGGAGTCACAAACACAGAGAGACGAAATGCCTGAGGACTTATCTGATCAACCTTCATTCCTCAAAGAATAAATTCACATAAAAGCTTACATATACAACCCTAGGGCTCTCTCAACACGAAGATGGCAGATGACAGTAATACTGATTTAGTCATGCCTTTTGGTACTTTTAGAAAATCAAGAGAACCTGATTACTTGCAAATGAATACATGATATGGTACCTAGAGGCTGGGTCAGCTGGACATCTATGAAATGGGAGAGTGAAGTACAAAGCTGCTAGTGATCAATTTTATTTATGTTTTATTTATTCTGAGACAAAGTCTCCCTCTGTTGCCCAGGCTGGAATGCAGTAGCATGATCTTCTTGGCCCACTTCAACCTCTGCCTCCTAGGTTCAAGCGATTCTCCTGCCTTGGCCTCCTGAGTAGCTTGGATTATAGGCACATGCCACCATATCCAGCTAACTTTTGTATTTTTAGTAGAGACAGGGTTTCAACATGTTGGCCAGGCTGGTCTCAAACTCCTGACCTCAAGTGATCCACCCTCCTCGGCCTCCCAAAGTGCTAAGATTACAGGTATGAATCACCACACCCTGCCTAGTGACCAATCTTAAAACTACTTCTTCTTCTGTTTTGTTTTTTTTTTACTTGCTTACTCCATAAGATTCACGGGATTTCAAGAGCTCTGTATTTTTAGCTAATGTCCCAGTGAGGCCAATTTCCCTGTCTTCTGCAATAAACAGTCTACATTTAGAAAACTAAAGTTTTAAAACATTTTAAATCATTTCTCAGGTTAAAAAATCATACAGTTCTATAACGTCAAGGATGGGGGTGAATGAAACATCAACAGGATATGCCAAAATATTATAATCATAATAGTTCCTTTATAATTCAAACTCCAGAAGATATGAATAACTTATTGAACAAGAATTTGCTCCAATATGATATTGAGAAAAAATAGAGGAGGTAGGACTCAGGGGAAAGGCTTTGAAAATATTACAAGATGGTTTTAAAACTGTCCTTTTAAAATTCCATTTGAACTCCATTTTGACTGGAGTTAGAAAGGCTATATGATACAGGCATGAAAGACTGGATGCAATGTTCTTACTAAAAGATAACACGTTTAAGCATTACTGGTTAGACGTAAGTGTTTATTTCCTTTAAAAACCTTAGTCTCATGGGATGACAGATGACACTGCTATAGTAATGTGGTTCTCCCATGACAGTTCACTGCTGATACTTTTTTAGATTTAAATAAACTTTTTTTTTTTTAAATCACCCAAGAAAATCTCAGGTCTCCATACTTCTCCTTTTTTTTAATGAGAATGATGCAAGCATGTGCCATTAAACACAGATAAAGTTAACATGCCTCCCCACTGTGCTCTACTAACAGTTGAAGGCTTTATGCTTCCTATTTCACAAAGCGGACATGTGGTTTTCTTTTTTGAGCTCATTGCATGAACTAAGCTTAAGCTCTTCCTCTACAAAGATAATAGAGACGATACTTCCTGTGCCGTCAATTCCTGCTGCTGGTGGTGGGTAAGAAGGTAGGCATGTATCTTCCCACCATTCCTTCACCTGGGGACCAAGCAAGATAGTATAGGATTCTTTTGAAAAGCATAATATAGTCTACCTATATTATGCAATAGAGTTTAGCTATCCCAAAAGCTCAAAAATCAGAGGCAGCAGAATGTTCTGTAAGTATCACCAGCCTCCTTGCACAGCTCTGGACTCCACTTTTTACTCTGAAACTCACTAGTGTGACCTTGGACGAGTGCCCTGACCTTTCTAGGTCTCAGCTGTCACTTCTGCAAAAGAGGAGAATAAAGTACGACCAAACAAGGTGACTGTGCGGATGAAGGGAAGTTCTTAGTATGGCGGCCAACACACAGTAATGCTCCCTGTAAGCTACTCATTTCAATTCTTATCCAGAAGGAGGACCAATAAGGACTAGAAATGTGATCACATAAATCATGCACAGAGCTGCGCATACTTCCCCTCATACTTACCCCTTGCCCTTGAACTCAGCAATGACTGAGCCCTCAGGGGCTGTCTCTGCAGGGCTGCATATGAACTGCTTGCGTGTATAACTTATATAACCTCCCAATACACCTCTCACAATACATGAGGCAGGAGCTCTGGAAATATCAGCTCTCAACTCCTCAAGCCCAAAGTGAAGAAAGTTCAAAGCAGTACATATGACTGTCAATGATCTTCATTCACTTATATCCATGTTAAAATTAGTTTACATTTCTTTTCCACTTATCTTCTGATGGACATCAGAAGAAAATTATTCAGAGATTGAAAACTGACACAGATAAGACACTAAATAGATAACAGATAACACAGATGGAAAATAAAACAACTATATGGATTATTCTGAGGAATTAGTGAATAATAAATCACGGACCTCATGCAAGTCGCAAAAGTGATCAGGGGAGACTTTTACTATAGAATAACCAAGAGCAGGAGAACACTTGAAATAAACTACAGGTATTGATCGGCTTACGACCTATGCAACTTACTACCATTCGACTTTACGACCACAATAGCTAGCCATGACTGCTCCGCGTCTGGCAGCACAAATGTTGCCCAGCTGGGCGTACGACAGTGCAGACCAGCTTCCGGCAGCACTACCATCTCCGCGTGCACCATTTCAACTGTTATCCCAGACTTGGTACAGCAATTTGTGTCTTGTGTCTTGGATATTTTTCATCAAACCCCTCCCAAGATGTCTACCAAGAGGAAATTGTCTTTGTCTATGCCTCAGCCTGCCAAGAAGGAAAGAAAGACCATCGATCTCAACACGAAAATGAAGGTAATTAGGCAGTACGAAGGAGGAAAGAAAGTGAATGTGATTGCACCTGATACGAACTTATCACACTTGACTGTGTCGATGATTTTGAAAGATAAAGAAAGCATTCGTGAAGCTGTGAAAGGTTCTGCACCCATGCGATCAACAGTTATAACAAAGCAACGAAGTGGGCCCATCCACAAAATGGAGAAATTGCTATATATTTGGATGGAAGATCAAATTCAAAAATGGCCAATAAAATGTTTCGTACATGTTTACATATTTTGATATGTTTTGCAATTGGGAAAATGTTTCCTATGGTATTTTTTACACCTGTATTTTGTATTTTTGTATGCACCTGTATTTTGTAATTTTGTATGTTTTGCAAATATTAAACCAGTTGTACTGGTAATGCAGTGTTCTACTTAAACCTGACGAATGTAAAAAGAAACAAAATGGTGTATAGATGATACAAATGGCATAAAATGAACAAAGAAAATTATGATATATAACAATAATGAAAGAAAATTATGATAAAATATGACTTAAAGATTTTTATAACATCATTTCACAGTACTGTACATATAGCCTACTCAACTTACGACCAAATCGTGGTACGACCGGTCTGTCAGAACCAATCGTGGTTGTAAGTCGAGCACTAGCTGTATTAACTGAGCAAAGAGGATTATCTGTTCTCTGAAAAGGAGGGTTAAAGTTGAGACAGAAGGTATTCAGAGAGATGTGAGATGACTTCGTCGGTAGGTAGCAGGGGCTCTTCTGGGCACTTTGCAACTATGGTATTGTGTCCCCAGGCGCATGGGGGCAGCCTATAGGAAGCTTACTCTTGGAGAGTTTTTTGTTTGTTTGTTTGTTTGTTTTTTTCCAAACCAACTTTGAGCATCTGTATTGAAGTACCTTTCAGTGTTAGCATACATTAGCTAAGAGCTTTCATTAAACATTAAATCAGTCTGTTATTTAAATTAAATCAGACTGTGAGCAGTCTGTGGTCTATTTGCCCTATACAGCAATTAGATTTTAATCTCTAGAAACAAGACTTACAAAAGGCCAGAACACTATCTAGTATTTGGGTGATAACCTGAGACAGCCACAGAAATACCATGGCCTCTCAATTATTCCCAACCTCCAGCACCCAGGTGAGACGTCTAACAAGCTATGGAAACCTTAAAGGAAGTACTACTCATACAGGATCCCAGAATCTGTTTCCCAGGACATGCGGTACTAAGGCTTGAAGGGAGCATGCTTATTTAATGAAAAGGATAAATGATTTCTATTTCTGAACACGCAGTTTAACATGAGGCAAAGTGCAAGGCCTCTCTCTGCCCAAGGGAGTTCTCCCGCTGGGACTGAACTCATATTCAGGGATGATGCTGTTCGTGGACTGATTACCACTGCTGTGGTGGTTTCCTTGACTGTGTAGATTGCTGCAGCTACACGTGCAGGCAGAAAACCAAATGGAGAACACCACCCTCCAGTGTAAACTCTAACATCATACCAATTTTTCTTTTTCTGACTCTCTGAATATATGAATAGAAAAATAAAAATCAACAGAATCCACATCTAATTGACAGACCTGGCACCTCTACCACACACTAGGAGTTATGGAAGCATGGGCAAGTTATTTAACAATTAGGATCATTTCTGTTGTAGGTGCTGTTAAGCACCTTGCATACTTTAATCCTTAAGCTTAGATTTCTTCATGTGTAAATTGAGGATAATAACGCACGACTACATTTGCAAGGTGAGGCAGCAGGGTCAAAAAGAGCACAGCTTCAGCACAGAGAGACAGGGGTTAAAATGCCAGCTCTAATTTCAATTTGATCTCATTGAGCTTCCATTTTCTCATCTCTAAAGTACAGATGAAGCCACCTACCTCAAAGGACTGTGGTGAGGAATTCAGCAAGACAGTGTTAAACACCAGTTGGTGTCTGTATTGCTAGGCGGTGCCCAATAAATGTTTATGCCCTCTCTCCTATTAGACACATGAACTGCTCTGTTAACATTCATCAGCAGCAAGTCAATGTCCATACTATCCAAAGATGCATTTCCTTTCATAACAATGAAAATTTTTTCCCAGAACAAGCTTAATATGCCAGATACTGTCCCAACAGCTTTATGACTATGAGCTCATTTAATCCTCATCACAGTTCAGTGGGGTAGGTACTACTACTGTCATCCCCATTGTACAGATGAAGACACTGAAACACAGGCTTTGAGTAACGTGCCTAGATTCAAACAGATGGGACCAGAGCTGGCAGCCCGGCTCCACAGCCTGTCCTCTTAACCAGGATGCAATAGTGCTTACTGGGTCTATCTGTTTGAGACTCCATGCTTGGATGTAATCTCTTCTAGAGATAAGCACTGGATGCTCTCACAAACTGCAATGTGATGTGACTAACTTTTCAACTTCTGAAATAACATTTTGTGTATTTTCTTAGAATTCCTAAAAAAAAAAACCTCTCTGCATTTTAAATAAGGTGCCTATAACTAGTTCATCTTGTTCTGTATGCTGAAATACCATAAATAAATGCAATTCTCTCTCTAAAGACTATGTAAATAAATCTTACATTAAAACACACTGCTGAGCTT